ATGCGGTTGGGGAAGCCTTTCCTGCAGATGCGGATGCCCTCCAGCACGCCATTGCAGCGCAGCTGGTGCATGACCAGGGGGTTGTCCATCACCCCTGCGCCAAGAGGGAAGGGGAAAGGGTCAGCCTTAGGGTAAGTGGATGCCAGGCATCCTCCCCAGACTAAAGCCTTCTCCTGCCTCACCTGGAGCCTTCCGCTCATTGGGGATGATGCAGCGCACAAAGTGAGGATGGGTGGTCCTCAGGTTGGTCATCAGCTTGTTCAGATTTTCCTGGAGGCAGATGAAGGTGGGGAGTTAGGAGCCGCAAGGACCATCCCTTAGGCCCTTAAGCCCTGGTCCCCAGACACTCTCCACCAGAATCATCAAAGGGACAGGGGCTGACATGTAATTTATGACGTGAGTTCAGGCTTGTGTGGAATCTACACACCAAAAGTGACCACTTAGCTCTAGCTTCTTTCCTCATCACTCAAGCACCAGAATAGGTGGTGCAGCCAGAAGAGTCTGGGCTGGGCTGTTCCACCAGGTGTCCTGGCACCCCTGGGCCCTTCTTACCCGGTGGAGAGCTGACACTGTCTGGAAGGATGAGCCCTTTTTCTTGCCTCCTTTGCTTTTACCACTGTCCCCTAAATAACAAGAGGAGGAACAATGAACAGGAGCTGGAAAATAGAGGCACCCTCGGGCAGAGGCAGGGCTCTGCTGATTACTTGGTAGCTCTGAGACTTTGGGTAAGGAGTTCTCCAAGATTCAGTTTACCACGAGGATGACAGTAGCAACCTCCCAAAGCTGTAGAGAGGGTTAGATAAGACTGCGTCTGTAGGGCAGCTCACTGGTGCTTGCCCATAGTAGGCACTGACATACATCAGTGCTCGTGGCCCTCCCTCTTCTAGCCCCGCCCTTCCTTCTTATATCTTTCCACGTTCTACTTTTCTTCTTACACTTTATCCTCTTCCTTTCAAGCCACATCCTTTCTCTTCCTTCTCTGAACTGGAGGATCCTTTGTTCAGTGTCCTCTCAACATTTGTTGAGAACTCCCCCATGCATCGCTCTCTGCTGGGCATGGTACAGGGATGCCTGCGCCACCCTCACTGACCTCCAGTTACTCCCAATCTTGAGGAAACCCGAGACAGCTACAGCAATACTACAGGTGCTATGAAGAGGCCCAGATGGACTGCGGTGAGGTGAGCCAGGAGGTGGCTTGACTCACAGGCTCCCCTGTGCCTGTGTCTGGAGTAATGTGCTTTGAAGCAGCAGGACCCTGGCTCCAGAAGGCCCCTGGCCCAGTGCAGGGGCCACCCACTTACCAGAATCAGCAGATGCGTAGGTGGAGAAGAGAGTAGCCATGAGCTTGAGGGAAGACTTCTGGTACAAGGCCACGACAGTCTCATTGAGAGGATCCTTGTTTTTTTCCAGCCAGCCCAGGATGTTGTAGTCTACGGTGCCGGCGTAGTGGATCAGGGAGAAGTGGGCTTCCTGCTTCCCCTTGATGTTTCGTGGCTTCTGGAAATTGTTGGACTTGCCCAGGTGGTTGTCATACAGCTTGGCCTTGAAGGTCATGTCAGTGGCCTTGGGGAACATGCACTCCTCCTCCAGGATTGACATGATGCCCATGGGCTGAGGGCAGAGTGAAGAGGCAGAGAGAGAGTCACTGAGCACACTCCCCGGCTTCCACAGTCCCACACCCCGACAGGAAAAGGACTGTAGAGCTAGTAGCGCTGGCCTGCTGACAGGGGTCTGTGCTGGTCCCTCTTGCCCCAAAACAGGGAGTCAGTTTCTCCCTCTTTCTGCCCAGTAGATCCAACAAAGAGCCGTGCACTCCTAGTCACCCCTGCAAGGCCCGCAGTGCCTCACAGCACAGCCCCTTCTCCCTGACTGCTCACTGCCCCAGAGGCAGCAGGGCAGGGACAGATGTGCATCAGAGGTTGTGGGCCAGGCCCTGTCTGTATGACACAGGTAGCAATTCTTTAGGGGATGGATGGAAAGATTCAGGTTCTTCACAACCCTCTGCACTTCCAAAAATGTGGTGGTTCTTGACTTTTCTTGGGGCAGGAATCCTTTTGAGAATTTATTGAAGCTAAAGACTATCTCTCCAGAAAAATGCATGTATACACAAACACATGTACACACACACATGCACACACATGTATGTATGAATGTACACATGCTTTCACACACAGTTTTATGGGATTCTAAGGGCTCTGAAAGATGAGACTCTGGTTAAGAATATGGGTAATGACCCAAAGTGTGTGGGGAAGCTTCCATTATCTGAAGGTCATGGCCTGGCTGGCTGTGGGTCAGACACTCTGGGCTCTCGCCTGTGCTGGCAAAGAGCAGAGGCCCCCTGAGAGCAAGTCAGTCCCAGCCCATGGGGCCTCCTGCCTGCGGCCTTGTCTCTTCTCAGGAATGCACATAGGCAAGAGGGCTAGAGACTGGCTTATTTCTCAACCAACAGGAATGTGGTGGCAGGCCAAACATCTCCCATTTCAGCCTAGGATCTTTCCATGAATGACACTTCTCATGGGCTGTCAGAGAGTCCAGGGGCCTCTCCTTCACTACATCTCACTCTTATGACACTGAGGGGACCACCACATAGGGGCATACAGCGCAAGGCCCTGGGAAAGGAAGTGGGGGGCTCATCCTGGGCATGCCCATGACTTCCCAGTGGGGAGAAGCTGGGCCTGGAGAACGGCCTGAGATTCTTGGGACTCTAGTTTCTTGGGTGTAGATGGGACTTGGCCACCACTTTGTCTGGAGGGCAGAGGAGGGGACATGGGCAGTGAGGCCAAGGAGGCACCTTCTCAATGAGGTCGATGCAGGCCTGCAGGTCCATGCCAAAGTCAATGAATGTCCACTCGATGCCCTCCTTCTTGTACTCCTCCTGCTCCAGCACGAACATGTGATGGTTGAAGAACTGCTGCAGCTTCTCGTTGGTGAAGTTGATGCAGAGCTGCTCAAAGCTGTTGAACTGCAGGGGGCATGAGGGGTGGGAGCAGTCAGGGAGTGGGTGTGAGTGGCCATTGGGGCTGTGCCCGTGCACTGTGCCCGAGCCCAGCAGGGCGTGGCTGGTCCCCTCCATGTCAGGGCAGTGCAGGAGGGCTTCCCCTGAAGATAGGGACAACGACTGCCTCTGTCACCACACAGTCCCCACTGCCTTCCCATGCCTAGTCCACAGCTGGCTCTCAGCAAATGGCTGTTGAATGTGGGAGCAAGCGAGTGATTGTTCTCCTCCCAGGGGTCCCCGACTCACGTCAAAGATCTCAAAGCCAGCGATGTCCAGGACTCCTATGAAGTACTGGCGTGGCTGTTTGGTCTCCAGGGTGGCGTTGATACGCGTCACCATCCAGTTGAACATCTTCTCGTACACTGCCTTGGCCAGTGCCCCAATGGAGTAGTACACCTGCTGCACACTCTGCCCCTTGGTGACATACTCGTTGCCCACTTTCACCCGAGGGTGGCACAGCCCCTTGAGCAGGTCAGCTGAGTTCAGCCCCATGAGGTAGGCGGATTTGTCGGCATCTGGTTGAGAAGGAAAAAAGTGAGTAAGCACTTCCTTTTTTTTTTTTTTAAAAGACAGAGTCTTGCTTTGTCACCCAGGCTGAAGTGTAGTGGTGTGACCTTGGCTCACTAGAGCCTCCACCTCCTGATTCAAGTGATTCTCCTGCCTCAGCCTCCCGAGTAGTTGGGACTACAGACGTGAGCCACCAAGCCAGGCTAAATTTTGTATTTTTAGTAGAGACAGGGTTTCACCATATTGCCCAGGCTGGTCTCAAACTGTTGACCTAAAGTGATTCTCCCGCCTTGGCCTCCCAAAGTGTTGGGATTACAGGCGTGAGCCACCGCACCTGGCCTGAGTGAGCACTGGCAGCAAGTGAGCCTCCTTCCCTGTTCTGGGGCCAAGGCTTTAGGAAGCATCAGGTCCAATTTCTTCTTCTTAAAGATGAAGGAATCAAGGCCCAGAAGAGCACAGGGCTTGCCATGATTACTCAGCCAATGTGTGCCTGAGTCAGGCTGGAGCCCAGGCCCCCTTGTCCAGCCCACGGTCTCTTGCCACAACCAGCTCTTCTCAGCTCTGTCTCTCTCTGCACCTGTACCATCACTGAGCCAGGTCTTTCACAAGCACTGCTGTGGGCATACCCCCACCCTCACTGTGCCCCTCACCTCTCTAGGGCAGGGATGTGGCTGAGGGGCTAGATGTCCTCTGCTCCCTGTCTCCTTAGTTGTCTACCCCAGTATCTAGCTCTGGACTGGCCATGCTGTCCTCTCGATCCACATGTTGCCCAGTTTGGCTGGGAGATCAAGGCCCCCCAAGAGTATATCAAACAGCACCCCTCTCCCACCCCCAGCCATCCAAATGTGTCACCCAACATGGGGATTTCTCTATTTAGAGGAGGAGTTATTTGGGGTAATTTCAAGAATGTTGTGATAACTGTTGGTGTGCTATCATGAACCCCAGCCTGACATTTTGATCTGGGCAGACTGGAGAAGGGTCCCTGAAGGTGGGGAGGAATGTTCTTGGGCACCTGTCTAGCACCATTTGCACCTCCACATTTCCTCAGAGGACCTCACACTAGCCACCAGAGGAGTGAGGAAAGATTGTCCATCTGTTTCACTGAGGAGGAAACTGATGCACCAGTGCCCTGGGCTGCATCCTGAGCCCTGGCGCACTGCCTCCCAAATAGAACATGGTTCGAGCCCACGAGGGGCTTACCCAAGTGTTGTGCAGGCAAAGGCCCTGAGTCAGTGATGGTGATATGTGGAGCTGAGGGGCTGTGCTTCCTGGGGCTGGGCAAGTCTTGGCACAGGAGGAAAAATCCCCACCTTAGTTCTGGTGAGTGCAGCTGGGGTTGAGGAGTTGGTGGAATTGTGGCAGACTCCCTGTTTGCCCACCTCTCCCATGTCCCTGTCCCTCGCCATCCCTCCACACACCCTGCTGCTCCATAAGCCTTAGATCTTCTGGGATCTGAGTCCCTGGAGAGCCTGGTCAGCACCTCTGGCCTTCCCAGCGCTGTCCGCCCACTCCTCCCACCTTCAGTGCCATCTGGCTCTGCCTGCTCCTCCCGTTGCTTCTGCTTGAACTTCATGTTCCCATAGTGCATGATGGCTCCCGTCAGCTTGTAGATGCCAGCTTTTTCCTCTGAAGTGAAGCCCAGCACGTCAAAGGCGCTCTGGGACAGAGTGAGAGGCAAAGAGGGGTGTTGGAGCAGTGGCCCCAGGAGCTCCTGGGGGCCCTGGAATGGACACAACAGCCCCCTCACTCACGTCAGTGGCCATGAGCTCCTCCGAGTCATCGATGGAGGCTACAGACACCTCTCCCTGAGACACGAAGGCATAGTCGTAGGGGTTGTTGGTGACCAGCAGCATGTCTGCACCAGGCAAGTGTTGGGGCAGGGGCAAGGGGGCAGGTGGGGGACAGGGAAGGGACAGGGAGGGTTGAGGAGAATGGAGGAGGAGAGAACCGGGAGCAGGGAGAGAAGTCAGTAAGGACCAAGGAGTGAACCCAGAGGAAGTGAAAGGGTAGAAGAGGGGTCCAGGAAGGGGCTCCAAAGTCAAGGAGGAGGGAAGGTGGCAGGGGAGTGACACATGGGAGATGGGGAGGCAAATAAAGAGGAGAAGGCGGAAGATAAGCCGAGGGAGGAATGGAGAGAAGGGTGGAGGAGTGAGGTGTGTGACTGTGCACAGGGAGGTGAGAGGAGATGCAGCGGTCTCAGGTGGGGAAGGGAAACAGAGTGAGCGGAGGGAGGAGGGAGGTGACCATCGAGGTGGGGTGCAGTGGGGAGCAGGAGGGCCCTGCCCTGAACACAGGTGGCTTTGGGGAGGGAAGTAGGGACAGTGGTGGGTGGGGGGTGGCAGGCAGGTTCACCCAGCAACTCTGGCTTCTTGTTGGACAGAATCTGGTAGAAGATGTGGTAGTTTCTCTCAGCCTTCAGCTGGAAGATCACCCGGGACTTCTCCAGCAGATCTGATGTGGGCAGAGGGGAAGAAGACAGGTGAGGAAGGAAAGAGAATAGAGCCAGAAAAGAGTGACGATGGGGGCAGGTGTCACCCACAGCATGATGAAGAGGGCCAGCTGAGAAGATGTGGCTTAAAAAAAGGATCCTAAAGCCCAGAGGCAAATGCAGACAAAGACGGGAGATGGGAGGAATGATGAGACTGGCTGCCCGGCAGGGAGAGAAGGCAAAGGGGGACCTGGAGGGCGGCAGCCTCCCTGATGGCACTCACAGGTCTCTATGTCTGCAGAAGCCAGCTTTCCAGTGGCCCCAAAGTGGATCCTGATGAATTTCCCCTGAGGACGAATGGGACAGAGTGAGGGAACTAGCCAGAAGGACAGAATCAAATCCCGGCCCTCTATTCAGCCCCAAAGCCCTGGAAGGTTCTGGAAATGTAAATGAGCTCTTTGGTATGTCAGCTGAGTATAAGTGAAACCAGGCAGAGGATGCCACCCTTACACGCTGTGCAGGGACCTCTGAGTAGAACCTCGGTCCAGAGGGGAAAGCACACAGAACACCTCCTGCTTGTACCCCTCGTATGATCTCACTTAATCCTCCCAGGAATCTGCAGGGTGGATATTAGTGCCCCTGTTTCACAGGTGAAGGAACTGGGCCCAGAGAGGTGTGGGGACTTGCTGAGCAGGTGGAAAATCAGACCCTTGGCTCCAAAGCCTATGCTGTCTCCCCACCAGGGTGTTCATGTTGATATCCCAAAGCCAGATACAGTACAATCAACTGTGTGTGGCAAAACAGCACCCCTCTTTTCTTGTCAAGGCTGGGTGGGGCCATTGGGAGTGGCCAAAGGCACTCACAAAGCGGGAGGAATTGTCATTCCGGACAGTCTTGGCGTTCCCGAAGGCCTCCAGAGCGGGGTTGGCCTGGATGATCTGGTCCTCCAGGGTGCCCTATGAAAGGAGCAGAACCACCCGGGTTCATACTCCGTCCACCTCCAGGCAGTGGTGGGAGGGCAGGGAGGCTGCCCTGGCCCTGAGGAATGGGGGTGGGGGCTGGGTGAGCTGCTGGTGGGTCTGTGGCTCCGTAGGGTCCTACCCAGACCTCAGGGTGGGTGTCTCCTGTCAGGAAGGTCTTCCACACACTGGGCTGACAGTCAGGAGCACAGCTCAGTGTGGCTGTGCCCACCACATCACAGGCAGGGCAGGGTTAGGGGTAACTTGGGTCAGCCTGCCCCCCCACCCCTGTTTTGCCAAGCCTGTGGCCCCCATGGCACCTTGTTTGCATTGGCATTGTCCTTCTTGCCACGGTCACCTATGGCTGCAATGCTGGCAAAGTACTGGATGACACGCTTGGTGTTCACAGTCTTCCCTGCCCCGGATTCTCCCCTGGGGGCCACAGGGACCAATCAGAACTTGGGATTCCTACTGTTCTACATGCAGGGCTCAGCACCGCAGGCTCCATTTCTCAGCCCCACCATCAGAGCCCAGCACCTGGCAGGATTTGCCTGTTGTGGTTCATTGCTCTGGCACCCCTCTAATGAGAGCTCAGTGCCCCGCTCTCCCTGCAATCCCAGCCTTAAACCTCTCCTCCCAGCTACACCGCAGGCCTCAGCCTGCATACCCCCAGCCCAGTCCCCTTTGTGGGAGGTTGGCACTCGCTTACGTGATGAGGATGGACTGGTTCTCCCGATCTGGAATAAAAAAGAGGAGAAGCAATGGGGTCAGGGCTGAGGTTCTGGGTGGGTGTCTGGGAGGAGGGGCAGAGGCCAGGAGCCACCAGGCTCACCTGTCAGCATGTACTGATAGGCGTTGTCAGAGATGGAGAAGATGTGGGGCGGGGCCTCACTCCTCTTCTTGCCCCGGTAGGCAGCCACCACCTCAGCATTGTACACCGGCAGCCACTTGTAGGGGTTGACAGTGACACAGAAGAGGCCTGAGTAGGTCTGGAGCAGGAGACAAGACCCGGCATGAGGTTGGTGGGGAGAACCTGGGACAGGCAGTGGTGGCAGCCAGGCATGTCCCTGTTCACTCCAGCTGGCTTTTCTCCTCCTGCAACTGACCAGGGGTGGAGGGGGGAAGGGGACTTGGGTCCCTTGGGAGAGTCCCTCCCCCTTTTCTTGGCTTATTTTGGCCTCCATACAGGACAGGAAGTCTCTGCAGTGTGCAGGAGCTGCTCACATAGATCATCCAGGCCGCGTAGCGCTCCTTGAGGTTGAAAAGCACCGCGGGCTCGTGTAGGAAGGTCAGCATGGCCATGTCCTCAATCTTGTCAAACTTGGGTGGGTTCTGCTGCAACACCTGGTCCTCCTTCACAGTCACCGTCTGGAGGCGGCACATAGGCAGGGGGATGGGTTGCCACATCACTCTGGGACCCTTGCTGGCATTGCCAACTGACCTCCTCCCAGGACACAGGCCATGACTGGCCTTGCTCCCCTTGCTCTGAGCAGTGCCCCAGCCCCTACCCCTTATCTCCCCCAGGACACTTTTCCCAGATAATTTCCCGGTTTTCCTTCCCACTGTATCTCCCATCCTAGAGACTGTCCTAGGGTACCTTTCCCTTGCCAGGTCCCCAGACCCTGTGCCCATGACCATCACTCTTCAGTCCCTGTGTTTCAGGGGTCTTGGGGCAGACCTGGAGATAGGCAGCTCTCAGATCTGTGCACGCCTTATGCCGAGCCCAAGGCTGTCTCCCGTGGGCGGTGCTCTAGGGTATCTGTTGCTCAGGGCAAACCTTCACCCCTTCTGGAAAAGCAGTTTGCCCATCTACCCCACACTCCTATCCATCACTGTTGGTATGGTTTGATTGACAGCAATCAGTTTGCCATGCCCTGATGTCACTGGGTCCTGCCAGTAGGTATTCCAGTATTTTTTGTAGTGGAGGAACCCATGGCTCTAAATGACTAAATGATTTGCCTGCACAGTGACTAGCGGGTAGCAGACCTGGGATCAGAGTCAAAAGCCCCAGGGGATTGTGGCCTGTTATTCTACACTTCAATGAGATGTAACATTCAGTCAAGGAGTCCATGAGACACACAGCTCTGAGCTGTGGCTGGTAACCAGGGGTGATTCTCTTGGCTGGTGTGAGCGAAGCAGGGATCAGTGGCTTCTGAGGGCCAGTCAAGGACTGAGTGTTCAGCTCAAAAGTTTCTGATCTTTGTGTTCATCTGGGTCTAAGAACTTTCTCTTGATTTGGGTGAACGGAATTTGAGAAAGTGGAACCATGGAGGAAGCTGAGTCACAGGGAGCAGGGATACAAGTGGAAGAAGGGAGCATCATTTAATGCTGTGTCTCTGCCCACTTTATCTACAAGCCCCCTCTGAGGTGAATAATGAGGTCTTTCTCCCCCAGCATCCTCCCTGGCAAGGGGCACGTGTCCCTGGGTGGCACCTGTTGCACCTGCTCAGGTCAATTTGAGAGGGGTCAGATTCTGGGCTTCCTGGCATCCGCACTGGCCTTGGCTTTTCTCCAGCCCTCTCAGCTCCCACTGCAAGTGGCTCCACCCCTGCATCTTCTTCCCAAAACCTCCTTCCCTTCTGTCCTGGTGCCATGCCCCACTCACCTTGCCATTCTCGGTTTCAGCAGTGACCTTGCCCCCCTCCCGGGACACAATCTTGGCTTTGACAAACTCTTCCTTGTCGTCAGGCACAAAACACTCAGTGCGAATGTCAAAGGGCCGGGTCTGGGCCTCCAGACGCTCCTTCTCTGACTTGCGGAGGTACTGGGCTGCCGCCCCAAAGTCAGCCATCTGGGCGTCGGTCATCTTGGCGCTCTCCTGGGTCAGGGACAGGAGGGCTGTGTTACTCCTGAGGGGGCCCATGCTCTATGAGTGGCCTTGTCCTCTCCCTGACCCCGCTCCTCCCCACCACCCTGCAAGAGGCACCTGGTGTTCCACCCTCCACCACTCAGGTTTCTGCTTCTCCTGCCCTCTGAGGTGATGCTGAAGGAGAATCTCTGTAAGGGGTTTGCTTGGGGTGACATTGACTGGAGCTTGCTAAGGGGTGGCGCTGAGTGCTTGGAGGAGGGACAGCAGACCCCTAGTCCAGCAATCTGGCTCCCAGGAGAATTGTGCCTGGCTCTCTGCAGAGAAAATGGGGGTGGATCTCACCTGGTTATCCCTTCACAGAGAATCCTGAAGAATCTGGACCGTAGGTGGAGTGAGGAACCACAGAGGTACAGCCGGGCAGAGAAAAGAACAGACAAGGAGAGTGAAGAACAACAGAGGCAGGCCCCCGGGGATGGAGGCAGCCCCAGAGCGCAGACAGGCAGGACAGACCAGGGAGTCAGAAAGAGACAAGACGCAGAGGCAGAAGAGAAGGGTGCTGAGTCAGTATGAGTGCGAGGGACGCGGTGTGAAAACAGGGTTAGAAGCAGATAGGCAGGGAGGCGAGAACACATGCCAAGAAGGAAGGGCAAGGGAGAGAGACAAAGAAGCATGATTGTGACAAGTGTCGATGAAGACCAAGAGGCAAGATAAAACCAGGATCAAGGGAAGGAAGCTATCCAAAGGAGGAAGGAAGATGGAAAGATAGGACAGCATGTAGGAGACACAGAATGATGTGGATAAAGAAACAGAGTTGTAGAAAAAAAGAGGTTTCTGGGTTTCCTATGGAACCTCCTTGTGTCAGTGGGAACTTCCCTGGACCTAGAGATAGACAGAGTTAGCAGAGCCCTTGGGCTTCCAACTGACCTGCACCCCACTCCTGCTGAAGGAGGTCCCTCACAGTGGGGGTTCTGTGGATGGGCTGCAGGGCATCCCACCCCAAACCTCTTACCTGGGCTGGAGGAGTCTCTGTCTGTCCTCAAAGCTCCAGCTCCTTTATATCCCATTTCCCTCACCCCCTGCCTAAATTTGGAGTCCTTCCGGAGGGACCCTCCCTCCCACCTCTCTCCCCTCTTGGCTCCTCCTCCCTTGATCCCTTGGCTCTGGAGGTGACAGGAGGACAGCAGGGCCCCCAGATTTGCCCATGAAAGGTCTGCTGCCCCAGCCTCTCTGGCTCCACGGCCTTTTTTTAGTCCTCGGGCGCATTCCTCCCCTCCAAAGGGCTGATGAGCAGATAGTGGGAAGACAGGACCTTCTCGCACCCCCTCTCCCAGCCGGCCATGGCCCTTACCTCGGTTATTTTTAAACTGAAGGGTGAATTGAACACATGGGTGAGGGTCACCTTCCGCAAGCCAAATGCCTGTCCTCTGCCTCCCAACCATGGGCTTTCCTCCCCTGTTCCCCACCCTCTCCTTCCCACTCTGACCTGCCCTCACACAGCCCCACACTGGGAGCATCTTCCTGCTCTCAGAACTAGAGTCCCCCAATGTCGGGGGCTGAAAGCTGGAGTATGGTGCCCAGGAAAGGGACCTACTGTCCACCTCCGTGGCTCAGTTTCCTTTTGTTGGGAACGTCTGTCCTGACCTCAGTCTGTACAAGTGCCATGCCTGGTTTCCTTCCATTCCCCAAGTCTCCAGACAAGTGTCTTCCCAAGGACTTGAAGCCACCCTGGTTTGGGGACACATCTGGGGTCCCCATCCCTTCCCTGATGCTCCTGATACAGTGGCCATCATCCAACCTACTTACACAATGGAAGGGATTCTCCCCTGCCACCTCAGGCAGATTTGCACACAGCCCACATTTCAGCACTCTCCGCATACAGACTTGACCGTGTCTGTGCCCCTCTTCATCCACACATGCAAATTTTTCACACTTACCCACTCAAGTTTGCAGATTTCTTTTCTACTTTGTTTTGTGTACACAGATGCACATATTTGCAATCCACATTTGCACGCATAGGCTTTTACCCTCCCCTGCCACCCTCTGCTCCTGGGGTGGGGTGGGCAGAAGCAGATGGTGTTAATCCCAGGGCCTGAGGGAGGAAGGGGGTGGGTGGGGGGCTGCCCTCTTCTGCCTCTCCAGGCTGCCAGAGGGTGCAGGTGCCTGGCAGGCCTGGGGATTTACACTAGCTGGGCCCCAGGCTCCACATTCCATGCGGGTGGGGCTCTGCCACCTGCCCCCTCCCCAGGCAGAACTTTGGTGCCCCCCCCAACCCTCCTGGGCTTTTACTCACATGACCTCTTTGTGGGTGTCCTCAATCACCCCAGTCTCTCAAGGCCCTGCTCCCCATCTTCCAATGCTGACACCTCTCAGAGGCTGTAGGTGTCAGGTCTTCAGCAGGCTGTGCCTGTTATGACTAAGTGGACATTGTGTTCAGGAAACAAAGCCAGACTCCCCTGCTCTGGCTTTCCCCCCACCCTCACACCCAGGAACACTCTCCCAGCCCCCCTCCCACCACTTTACTGTCACCTCTCAATATAGCTCTCGGGTGTGGAGGTGGGTAGGGCGATAGGGGTCAGCTTCTCTGGGTAGAAGCACTTTCCATTAAGATGTGGCCTCCCCCCAAGGTCCCTAGCCCCCTAGGACACTGCCACCCCATTCCTGGGCTCAGGAACACACCTCTCTCCCCAGGGCATTTGGACCTTCTCTTCAGTGTCCTTGGAGGGACCTGAGTTGACCCTACATCCCCATCTCCTGCAGGTGCTTATGCCAAATCATTACCCCCAGGGGATGCAGGCCACCTGTCCTCAGCTGTAGGTCAATCGAGGCCCCAGAATGCAAGCCGGGGGGTTAGCCCATAGCAGTGCGTCACTACTTGGTTCCCATAGCTCTGGCGACATGATAAGGAGCTGAGGACGCCAGGTCAGTCTGGGTCAGGTCCAGGTGACAAAGACCAGGCTTTGTCCTCAGGGAACCCTGTGCTCTAAGCAGATGACACTTGGTATAGGTGGTGGTGGCAGGGCAGGGGGGAGTGGAGGTGGGGATGGGGGGCAGTCTCCCAGTCCTATGGAAGGAGGAGGAAGGAAGATGTTCACTCAGCCCCAGGCCCTGTCCCTGTCTGCTCTGCTCTGCCCTCCTCTTCCTTCCCCAGGCTCCTTCTCTCTCTGGCTCTCACATACTACTCTCAGTCGTCCCTCAGCTGCCTTGCGCACAGCTCCTCATTCTGCTGGGAGTCCTGGAGTATATGGGCAAGGATGGAGGCTTCGGCCACAGGTGAGGGTGCCGAGGAGGCAGGGCTGACCTCTCTGGCACAGTTTGCCTTTTTTCTGCCTGGCTCCCCATTGCTTCTGTCGCTATGTTTCACCTTCATTCCCTTTGCCTGCTTCCCAATCTCAGAGTGGGGCCTGCCTCTGATTCTCCCTGGCCCATGTCTCTGCCAGGCTCAGGGTGTAACGTGAGGCTCTGCCTTCTCTGAGCCTGGCTCTTCTCACTCTGGGCCTCCACATCTTGCTCCAGGCTTTTCCTCCTCCTCTCCAATCTCCTTGTGCCTTGGTGATCCTGACTCTCCTTTCATCTGCAAATGACCCCGGATTCTTTCCTTCACTTGGGAGCACCACCCTCAGCTCTTCAAGCTTCTCCCTGCAAGACTCCCTGTCCTTTCCTCTCTCCCCATTCCCCTCAGCACCCTCCTTCTCCCTGGCTCAGCTCTCAGTTCTCTCCCAGCTCTGCTGCTGTCTGCGTCCAGCCCCTGGCCATTCTCGTGGGATCCATATCTCTCACAGTCTCTCTGGCTCTGGTGGCTTAGTTGCCCTGGCTCTCTTGGCATAGCTCCCTTTTCAAGGGTCCTCTCCTTTGTTTCTACTTATCTCTTTATTGCTGTCCAAGTCTGTTCCTAACCAGAGGAATGGCCCTAGGGATCTCGGTCCAAGCTGAGATCTCACCACTGCACTCCAGCCTGAGACTCCGTCCCAAAAAAAAAAAAAAAGTTAGAGCTGGAAGAATCCTAGAAATCACAGAGAACTGAATTTCCTTGGTTCAATTGTGTGGGATAAGTGAGAAGGAAGTGTCCGTGGTTTGAGGGTGCTCTGTCTGGGTTGGTCTAGGGAGGGACAATGGAGGTGGCTAAGAGGAGAAAGGTGGCGGTGCCTGCGGATCTTTCTGGTGCCTCCTCATTTCCTGCACCTGTTTTCCTTGTCTCTGTTTCCGCTGGCTGCCTTGTCCCCTGGTTGCTCAATCTCTTTGCTGCCACCCCCTCAGGTCTTTCCTTCTCTCCCCCACCCTGTCTCTCCTCTGCTGTCACCTGCTCTTCTCCGGTACTGGTTTTCCTCCCCGGCACAGGTCCTTGCTCTGGCTGCCGCATTCACAGCTCAGAGCCGGGGACAGAGCAGGAGTGGGCTCTGAGTGGTGTGTTGGTGGGTTGGGGGAGATCTAGTCCAGGGCTGAACCATGGCTTCTCAGGTTCCCAGTGGGGCCCACAGCCTCACTGCCTGCTAAGCCCCTGCCCTCTGTGGCCCACAGTCCCAGGCCCACCTAAGCAACTCAGCCATGTCAGGATCTCCAAGGGGGATGAATTTGTTTAGTTGGAGGAGACGTGCTCCTTCCACCTCCCAGCCCTCCGGGGAGCCATCCTTTCCCTCCCTCTCCCCAGAATCCTGCTCACACATAACCTTCCCCAGCCCCTCAATCTGTCTGCCTCCCCTCCAGATGGCTTCCCATAAATGGGCCAGAAGAACCCCATCTTCCTGCAATCCTAGAGGACGAAGGGCTTGGTGATGGGAATTACAATTGGAAGAAATGAGTGGGAAAAAGGGAGCATTCTGGGCGAAGGGGGCTTGGCCTGGGAGGAGCTGAGCAGGATGGGCGGGTGGGCTGAGGGTGTGTTTCTCCCACCTGTGGTGGGGAGGGAGCACACTGGCCTCTGGTGGTGGCTGGAGAGGGTCGTGGCTCTATCTGGAAGGGGATATGGGCTACAGCTGTGAGTCCTTGTGTACTCTGAAAAACTCGTGCAGGACTGGCACTTAGGCAGCCATTGGCTCACCTGGCCAGTGATTCACACTCCCGTGGGCTCAGAAATGGCACTGGCCAGCACCCATACCCGGAACCGCCACTCTATGCGTAGCCCCGGGCGGCATCCATGATGGTGGGGGGGGGAGGGTTGATGGGAGCTGGGGTGCAGGTCCACAGTAGATGGGCTCAGGGTGCTCTAGGTGAACTTTAGGCATCTCCCCAAATTTCCCTTAATCCTGAGGGCTGCTGGGCCAAGGAGAGGGCTGGGAGGAGAGGTGTCGCCTCTGCTGCATTTGGCTGGTTTGGCGGAAGTAAAAGCGTTTCAGTGCAGCTCCAGGAGGGCCTTCCTAGGCCAGGCCTTTGAATCTGCACCACCCCCCACCCCCACCACATGCCTGCATTTCTACCTCCCCTAGCCCGGACCCCACCCCCAGGTCCCCAGGGCTGCCGGGCAGTGAAGAAGAGTCTGGAGTCAGGATCTCGGCTTCAGGGAAAATTGCTTTATTCTGCTTCCTCCCAAGGAGCTGTTACACAGGCTTCGCCAGCACCCCCAGGGCTGAGCAGATCAAGATGTGGCAAAGCTACTCCTCATTCAAGCCCTTTTGAAAGGAAACAAAGTCCAATCAGACCTTGGAGAGGTGGTATTGGGCAGGGACAGGGCACGGGAAAGAAAGGTGAGAGGGGTCTGATGGTGGGAGGCCTGCTGTGTGGGCTGGTGGAAGCCCCTGTGGCAGCAGCAGGTGTGTTTCCAGGGCTTGATGTGCACGGGGCAAGTTCTAGAGGGCAGGGGTCTGGGGTTGGCCAGAGGTAAGTTGCCTAGGTGAGAACAAGGGGGTTCTCTGGGACGCTCATTTTAGGTTTGAGTTACAAGGTTGCAGGACAAAATTAGGTGGAAGGGAACTGGAAACCAGCAGTTGGGAGGAAACTGGGATATACTGGTTGTATATAAATCAGGGTCTTCTAGGGTTGCAGACCACCCTAGGACTGGAATTCCCAGAACCACTGAAAGTTAGAGCTGAGCTGGGTGTGGTGGCTTACACCTGTAATCCCAGTACTTTGGGAGGGTGAGGTGGGTGAATCACAAGGTCAGGAGTTCAAGACCAGCCTGGCCAACATGGTGAAACCGCATCTCTACTAAAATATAAAAATTAGCTAGGCACGGTGGTGCATGCCTGTAATTCCAGCTACTTGGGAGGCTGAGGCAGGAGAACCCGGGAAGTGGAGTTTGCACTGAGCTGAGACTGCACCACTGCACTCCAGCCTGGGTGTCAGAGTGAGACTCCGTCTCAAAAGAAAAAAAGTTAGAGCTGGAAGAACCCTAGAAATCAGAGAACTGAATTACCTTGGCTTCTGTGTCTGTGTGGTTCAGTTGTGCGGGATAAATGAAAAGGAAGCATCCCTGATTTGAGGGTGCTCTGTCTGGTGTGCCTGCTGTGCGGGTGACTAGCAAAGCCCAGGGGAGGGACCCACCTTGGCGCCAATGTCGCGGCTCTTGGCCCGCAGCTTGTTGACCTGGGACTCGGCAATGTCTGCCCGCTCCTCTGCCTCATCCAGCTCGTGCTGCACCTTGCGGAACTTGGACAGGTTGGTGTTGGCCTGCTCCTCCTGTGGGAGGTGGGAGCATGAGGTGAGAGGGGGCCTGGGTTCTCAGACTCCCGGATTGGGGGATGAGCTCTCCTATGCCTGGTCCCCAGCAGGGTCACTCACCGCCTCCTCGGCCTGGCGCTTGTAGGCCTTGACCTTTAGCTGCAGCTTGTCTACCAGGTCCTGCAGCCGCAGCAGGTTTTTCCTGTCCTCCTCCGTCTGGGGGCCAGAGGGTAGGCAAGGGTGAAGATGGCATAGTCACAGGAGGTAGCATCCCCTCCACCCTCCCTACTTCAGCTGATATCCTGACCCAATTCTACTTTCTGATCCTCACTAAACACTTGAACTCTCCTTATAATTTCTTACCAAATATGTGTAAATATTTTAAATGATTTGCACCAGGAAAGAGTCCAAATTGCTGATGGGACTCCTGAAATTATGCACAAAATTGTGTGTGTGCAGTGCTCCAGGGAGCAGGTTTTTCAGGGTCTGGGGACCCCATGGAGGATAAACTCCCCTGCTCTGGACCTCAGCACATGCTGGGAGGGACTCTGGGGCTGTGAGTGTGATGGAATTTCCTGGGCTGCAATGCAGATGACACTGACTTAATCTAGGTTAAGGACCAAGTGTGCTTAGAGGGATGGTGACATCCTGGATTGGAAAAGAAACAAATTCTAATTCAGAGTCTGATTCTAGAAAACACCTTGGAAAGCTAGAGTCTACACTGCCCTGGGTAACAGAAAAGTTTGGATGCTTGTTTGCATGGGATTGGTGTATTTCTGGTCTTTTGGGGGTGACCCTGGCTACATATTTGCTTTCTGGTGAGCTGTGCTGGGTGAGCTTTGTCTGGAGCTCTGTGTATGTCCCCTGGGGATGGGCTGAGGGTGGGTGTTTGAGATGAAGCTCCCAGGCCAGGAGGTGCAGAGACTGACTTCTGAGCTAGGGGACATTCAGGTGGGGCAGGACTAGGCAGAGTGAAACAGAGGCTGCATTCCCACCCTTGCCTTGGAAGAGGCTAAGAGCAAACTCTTCATTCCCCTTAGCTGGTTGTTACTGTGGCTTCAGGCCAAGGTGCCAGGGCCCTGCCTGAAGCCACTGACCGCCGCACCTGGTAGGTGAGCTCCTTGATGCGCCGCTCGCTCTTCCTCATGCCCTTCACTGACTCCGCGTTGCGCTTCTGCTCCGCCTCCAGCTCATTCTCCAACTCCCGCACCCGCGCCTCCAGCTTCTGCAGCTGCTTCTTGCCGCCCTTGAGCGCGATCTGCTCGGCCTCGTCCAGCCGGTGCTGCAGGTCCTTAATGGTCTGCTCCATGTTCTTCTTCATGCGCTCCAGGTGGGCGCTGGTGTCCTGTTCCTTCTTCAGCTCCTCTGCCATCATGGCGGCCTGTGTGCAGGAGAGAGGTGGCACACGGTCTGGTCAAGTCCTCACACACTCACTGCCCAACCCAGGGAGAGACACTGGTGTGAATTGGGTAGATGGTGGGGGGGCAGGACTCACATCCGTGATGGCCTTCTTAGCCTTCTCCTCAGCATTCCTGCACTCCTGCACCGCTTCCTCCACTTCTGTCTGGAGCTGGGACAGGTCAGCGTCCATCTTCTTCTTCTGGTTGATGAGGCTGGTGTTCTGGGTTGGGGGAGGGGTAGGCAAAGCAGGAAAAGCATTGAGTATCTATCTGTGCGGAGCTCCCAAGCCTTGTCTGCTGAGCCCCAGCCTGTGCTCCCTTCAGGAATGAGCAGGGAGCCATTCACCTGGGAATGCAGCAGCTGCACCCGCTCGCTGGTCTCAATCAGC